TTTTAATTTGCTATAGGGGGCATATGCTCGCTGGAGAGAGACAGAGAAAGAGGGGAAAGTGGGAAAGCACCCCCCAGGGGGATGGACAATTCAATCCTTTCTCCTTCATTCTCTCTTTAGGATTTTGGGCACACATGCACATGTGCCTGGTGTGTCTTTCAAGCTTCCAGATATGGGACTTGAACTGTGTAGCTAGGCATGTGTGATCCAGCTGCCTTAACACCATACTACCTAGCCCACATTTGCTGCACACTCTTTAGACTATAAAGAGCTCTTTGCATACATGACTTCATGGGAAGTCATATAGTATAGGGGTTAAAAGTACAGATTTTGGTGTTACATAGACTTGAGTCTGAGTCTGGCTTATCCTCTTACTTACAAATTGGGCTCTTGGGCAAGATTCTCAGCTTCAGTTTCCTCATATTTGGAATGAGGAAAAAATCAGGACATTTGTCACCGGGCTATGATGACGATGCAAAGAGATAATGCATTTAAAGCTCTCAGCACAATGCCTGGCACAGTTGTTAAACAGTAGCTATTATTACTATTTTAGAATTTTTTAAAAACAGAGCATTTTCTCTGAGGGAAGAGAGTTTCAAAATCAGACAGATTGGGTTCAATTCTTCGACCTATCACTTACTAGATGCAAAATGGAACTAATTGCAGTTATAACAGTGTCCATGGGAGTAAGTGAGGTGACTTTTTAGGAAGCCACATGAGAGAATAATAGATAACAAATCTTTTGACATTGACACCAATCCTTAACCTTCACTGGGTCAACTATGATCAGGGAAGCGGAGTCTACTTCCTTTAGACCTCAGCAACTTTAGACAGAAACTCCTAGGGCCCCTCCCTCAGAAGGGAGAGAGGTGGTCACCAAGACATCTGTCCTAACATTGAGAACTTAATAGACAAAGGAAACCACAGGAAGTGTTGAGGAGGCAAAAATTTACCTCTTCTCTTTCAGTTTTTTTTTTTTTTTCTTTTTTTTCCTGGGCCTGAGAATTAAATTGACATAAGACAGATTAACAGAAGAAAAGCACACAAAACTTCTTTAAAAGCTTATTTATTGGGCCAGTAATTAAGATGCTGGACTCCCACATGGCTGACTGCAATTTGAGTCCTGGACCTGGCTGCTGAAAACTCATGCCTGGTGTTCACACGTGCATGCCCAAAATCCCAAGAGGAGAAGGGATTGTCATGTGGCCAATACCCTGTGGAGAGCAATTTCTTACTTTCCCTCTCGCTGTCTCTCTCTTTTTTTAGAATTATTTTATCTATCTTTATTATTTGTTTATTTATTTTAATTTGACCAGAGAGGGACAGAGTGAGAGAGAGAGAGGGAAAGTGAGAAAGCAAGCTGCCAAGTCTATAACTCGGATCACAGTCAGCCATGTGGGAGTCCAGTGCCCTTAACCACCACGCCACCTGTTGGCCCTGTCTGTCTCTCTAGTGCGCACATGTGCCCTGTGGCAAAAACCTTAAAAAAAAACTTATTTATTTTACTTGTGATAGCACATGTGCGTGCATACATGTGCACAAAAGAGAGAGAAAGAAGGAAATCCTTCCAGCTGGTCAGAGTCTCGCACGTGTGCATGCAAAGCCCAACCTGTGACCACCATGAAGCTTCCAGCACTGCAATTCAGTCTATTACTTCCTGTGCCACTGAGGCTAGGCCTACAGACTTATATTAATATAAGTTTTATGTGACACAGGAGTCCTTGTAAGGAAATGAAGACCCAAAGAAGCAGTTATATATGAATAGACAAAGAGTGGTGAACTGTGAAATGTGATAAGCCAAAGGGACTTGGGCTAACATAGTTAATTGGATTAAAAGCTGACTTGAACAATAACAGTTTAACAAGGGTTGTTTATACAGATTTCTCTTAACTGCCTATCCTTGATAATAAAAATGTTACTTTCCTGAAAATATAGAGAAGATTTCTTCAACATGAGAATTTCATCTCCTACTTTGCCTTTTGTTGTTGTTTTTAATTTGTCAGAGGGTACATGTGCTTGTCAGAAGGAGTCAGGAAAACAGAAAACAGAGAAAGAGTAAGAAAACACCCCTGATGGGGTTACACCATGATCCCTTCTCTATTTCTCCACCCTGTGGGAAATTTAGACCCTGTTGGGATTTTGGGTGCACACACACATGCTGTGTTTTTAAGCTGTTGGAGCGAGGATTTATACTGCTCAGTCAGCCATGGGGGATCTGGCTTCCTTAACCACGAGGTCATGGGGACAGCCCTCATATCCTGCTTTCTAGAAATACAATGAGGGGGACCAGCAGTTAGCGTAATGGCTGTGTCGCTGAACTCCCATGTAGTTGACCGCAGTTTGAGTCCTGGACCCAGTGGCTTAAACTCATGCCAGGCACGCGCGCATGTGTGTGTGTGTGTGCCCAAGATCCGGAGAGGAGAATGGAGGAGAAAGGATTGTGGTTTGACCATCCCCTCTGGGGGGCGATTTCTCACTTTCTGTCTCTCTGTCTCTCTCTTGTCTTTCTGGCGAGCGCACGTGCCCTATAGCAAAAACCTCTCCAAAAAAAAGAAAAAAAGAAATACAATGAGGGACCAGCAGATGGCATAGCAGTTACATTGCTGGACTCCCACATGTCTGCATGTGATTCAAGTCCCAGAACCGGCGGCTTAAAACTCATGTCTGGCACGTGTGCATGTATGCCCAAGATTTCAGAAGGAGAATGCCCGATTAGAGATTAGGGTGTGGACATTCCCCCCTAGGAGGTGGTTTCTCATTTTCTCTCTTACTGTCTCTGGCTCTGTCTCTCTTTTCCTGGTGAATACACATGCTCTAAGGCAGAAACCTCTTAATTAAATACAATGAAGGTCAGATCTTCATTGATCTTGTACCTACTATTTTTTAAGTAGCCTTAATTCAAATAATTAATATGTCAGAGCTGCATATTTTGGAATTGCATATTCTTTTTATTATTTTTTAATTTAAAATTATTTATTTGTTTTTTGTTTGTTTGTTTTGACTGGGTCCTACTGTTGTAATCTCTTGCCTCAGCCTACCACCTTGAACTACATGCATATACCATGGCACCTGGCCTTTAGGTGGAACCTGGAATCAAACCTGGGTCTTCAGGGATGGTAGGTGGCGAAGTGGTTAAAGGTGCGAGACTCCCACATGGCCAACCACAATTTGAGTCCTTGACCTGGTGGCTTGCTTTCTCACTTTCTGTCTATCTTGCTCTCTCTCACTCTATTCTCTCTGGTCAAAGTTAAATAAATAAATAAATTTAAATCATTCTCTTTAAAAACAAAAACAAAAACAAAAAAACTGAGTCTTCCATGTAGTCCCAGCCTGTAGAGCACAGTTTCTCAGCAATATTTACCATCTTGACCGGGCCTGGAGAAGCATTTTTTTTAAATAAATTTTCTTTTTTTAAATGATTTGTTTATTTATTCCATGAAAGAGAGAGCAAGAGAAGTACTCCCAACAAAGGCCCCATGCTGTGATCCACCCCTAGAATCAGTCAACCCAAAGCATGGGCACATGCATGTAGAGGAAGGCACCAGGCCACAAACCCAAGACCTTCCCATCTGGGCTCGGCCAGACAATTGCCATGGCCACCCTTTGGCCCTGGGGTGGCATATTCTTAACTCCTCTAAAAGTAAGCCCTTGTCCCCTGGTTCTCATAAGGGGAGGTAGTTGAGTCATGAGACTTAGTAATAGGAACTGATAGAGCCAGTTGAGGCTGGTCTTATTGGATGCGGGCTGACGTAGGGTTTCTATGGTTGAATCTAAGGCAATAACCTTAGATACTGGGGAGTGCGATTTGAGAAATATGAATTCAACTGCAGGGAGGAGAGGAAAGAGAAGCTACCTCCAAGGACACTTCCATCTGAGGCTGCCAAATCATGCTGTGATCCAGGGGCTATGATGGGCCCAGGAAGTGGGAGTTAGCAACTTTGAAGGATAAAAGCAGAAAGGCACTGAATGTTTATGCAGTGCCAGGTTCCAAAAAGAATGCCTCTTTGTCCACATGCCTTCTATGCCAAAGCAAAACAAATGTATCAGCATCTCCTTGAAACTGCAAGGGAAAGTCTAAAATGTTTAAGCAACAGAAAGAGTAAATGGAAATCGATTGTCTATTGTCATCATTACTAATTCAAGAAGTATAAAATGCTAACCTCTTTACTTGGTGGGCTGATTTTATGACTATTTTTAATGAACGTAAATGTCTAAGGACTAGTCCCTCTAAGGGGACTAGTTCCCCCCACCCCCAGAGATTTTTTGCTTTAGGACGTGTGCGCTCACTGGAGAGACAGAGAGAAAGAAGGAAATCACACCACCCCACCCCCGCCCCCGGGGAGGATGACCATGACCATGCCACAATCTCTTCTCCTTCATTCTTTTCTTGAGATTTTGAGCATGCGTGCACATGTGCCAGGAGTGAGTTTCAAGCCACCAGGTCCAGTTCTCGAACCATGGTCGACTCTGTGGTAGTCAGCACCTTAACCACTACACCACCTGCTGCCCCCCATCTAGTTTTATGATAATAAATGTTTTGTGCCTTTTAACCATACATTCTTATGGTGGTTTAGGACATAATTGTCATGGAGGAGGGTGAGTAGGGTATTAATGTATAAGTGTTTCGACTACTTGGTATTTGAGCTACTACACATGGTAGTGTAGAATTCAAGAATCAGAGGAGAATTTCAGAAATATTGGAGTCATCCCTGATGTACCCTTATTATTCCCATAAAGTTTGGGCATCATTAGCCACATATTATTGTCTTTAAGAAAACAGTAATTTGGGCTGGCAGGTGGCGTGGTGGTTAAGGGCGCTGGACTCCCACATGGCCGACCATAGTTCGTAGTCCTGGACCTGGGAGCTTTCTTTCTCACCTTCCCGCTCTCTCTCTTGCTCAGTCCCTCTCTGGTCAAATTAAAATAAAGTTAAATAAGATAATTCTTTTAAAAAAAGAAGCCACTAATAATGTCTCTATGTTACTCTTTTTCTCCTTTATTCTGTAGATGGATGGAAAAGAAGATGGGTGGAATCTAAACATCAGCCAGACTATGGTAAATTTCAGCTCAGTGCAGGAAAATTTTATGAAAATGAAGAAAAAGATAAAGGTAAATACTGGAATTCAGGAATATATTAATTAACTGGAAAAATTCTGACTTTGATACAGTTGTTTTTAACCATGATCACCAATTCATTCTCTTTCTCACAATAAAAGAAAGGGGTAGGTAAAAAAAAGAATGAACTTTCCACAAAAATAATAACATCCATTTATTGATTAACAGGCAATTAAAACCAAGCCCTGACACACATAATTTCCTTTCACAGGATTAACAACTCTGTAAGATGGTTACTATTCTTTTTCCAGTTTTGCCAATGAGCCTCGGAAGGCTTTAATTATTTGCTCACTGTTATATACACAACAGGCACGGGGGAGCTGAGATTCTGGGTCTGACTCTGAGTCTGATTCCCGGGATTGGATAATTACCACTAAACTCTGCTGCTTTCTCCACTCCCCTAGGATTTTTCAAGAAGTACTCCATACTTGGAATAGAGGAAAGTCCTGTATAATGTCTAAATATTGCCCTTCTTAGAGTAACTTTTAAAAAACAAAAACGGCCTCTTTTTTTTTTTTTAGAGAGAGAGTTTTGGTTTAGGGTGTGTGCATTCCACTGGCTGGGGAGAGAGAAAGAGACAGAGAAAGTGAGAGGGAAAGTGAGAAATCACCTCCCTAGGGGGATGGGCATGCTGCAATCCCTTCTCCTCCATTTTCCTCCTGGGATCTTGGGCACACATGCGTACACACCCAGCGTGAGTTTCAAACCACTGGACCCAGGACTTGAACCACAGTCGAACATGTAAGAGTCCAGGGATGTAACCGCTATACCATCTGCTGGCCCCCTAGAGTAGCTTGATGTGATGAAGAGTAGCGCAAACAGAGGGCTAACTCCCAGGACTTCCTAATTTCCCAGGCTGCATAATTTCATCAAGTCTTTTTACCTCTCTGAGCCTTGGTATCAGATGGAGATAATAATCATTGTCTCCATGCCCATTAGCCAGGGCTGTTGTAAGAGCCAGATAATATTGCGGAGGAAGGCTGAGCTCTGAGTACAAGGGCTGCACCACGGGTTTTTTATTAACTTATTTTTTTGGTCTGAGAAAGCTTTTGTCCTTTAAATAGAATCCATTGATCGTTCCTTGGAGTGATTTCCCATATTCTCCCTCCTGGCTTCTGTTATGAATCTCATCTTCATGTTTATTAAAGGAGAGTATTGTGAACTGGCTCGAGCATTTTAAATCAAGTTTAAATCTACTCTGGAAAACTGTTTTCAGAGGACTAAGTGAACTGTGAGACACCCATTTCTCGGTGATTCTGTTGGGAGCAGTCTGCAAAGCCCATCACCACGTCTCAGCCTGATTTCTTGGCTTTTGCCCCTCGCATCTTATCCCACTTGGGTTTATTAGATTCCCGTTGGTTGTCTAGAAGAGCCCTGAGGTACAGATGAGATTTAGAGAGAGGAGGTTTGAACTGGGTTACATAGCAGCGTTTGCCACAGTGAAGACTCAAGCTTCGTCTTCTGCCTACATGGTCAGTGTTCATTCCCAGTGCCTACTGCCTCCCCCATGAAGTCTTCTCTGGCTTTTCTAGTCCCTCCACCCCAGGTGCTTGGGGAAGGAAGCACACTCTAAACTGTAGGACCAGCTCTGTGGCATGTTGGTAGCGTGCCACTCAGGAGAAGCTGAACCTCACGTGGTTTGAATTCCCAGCTGGCTTGACCTGAAACACATCAGGCATGCATGCAAGTGCCCAGGATCTAGGGCTAGAGGACTAGAGAAGGAGGATCACTACATGACCAGATCTCATTCTCACTCACCGTCACTCTCACTTGTGCTCACATGCTCTAGAATAAATTTTAAAATAATAATAATAAGGATGTAGACAGCGCTGATGTTAGACATGAAAGCACTCACCACAGAGACTGGTATGTAGTAAGTGCTCAAGAGATGCTGTCTGATCAGGACCCGTGATCCTCCCATGCAATTGAACACGTATTTATCATTTCCTCCATATAAGGCCTTATCTTAGATGCTGGGATATAAAGTTGTCCCTATTTTTTAGGAGTTTAAAAGTGAGGGGCCAGCAGGTGGCATGGTAGTTAAGGGCACTGAACTCCCACATGGCCAACCATGGTTCAAGTCCTGGACCTGGTTGCTTCTTTTCTCACTTTCTCTCTCTTTCTCTGTCCCTCTCTGGTCAAATTTAAATAAATAAATAAATAAATTTAAATAATTCTTTGGAGGAAAAAAGTGAACCAGAGAGACAGAAATTAACCTAGTTTCAACATTAAATGACCCAGGGAGATAAAGAGAGCTGTGAGATTATGAAGGAAGGACCCTTACCAATCATAAAATGTTCCTTGCATTTTATGCTGACAATTTATACTTGACCTTCACTGAAAACCCTATGAGATAGGAAAAATTATCTGCATTTTGCTGATGAGGAACTGAGACCCAGAGAGTTAAACTGACAATCAAGTTGTAACCCATAAGCTGGCAGCAGCATGAAGTAATAGCCCACTAGCCTGTGACTTCGGAGACGTGGCTTGTACGTCTGTCATTTGTGACGGTGTGTCTTGGATAAGTAACTTTCTGGGTCTTGCTTTCCTTACCTATAAAGAAATGCGGTTATGCCAGAAAGGCTGTGAGATCCCCTACAGCCCTCATATTCTCTGGGGAAGGTGAAGTCTTACAGTTGAGAGTTAGCAATGATTATTATCTGATGCCAAAGGCAGATCCAGGCCAGCTTTACTACAGCAGTTGTGCAAGGCAGAGACTCATTCTGGCCACTCGAGGGACCTCAGAAAACAGGGCTTTTTTTTTTTAGAATTATATATTTATATATTTCTATTTGTTATTTTTTAATTTGACCAGAGAGAGAGAGAGAGAGAGAGAGAGAGAGAGGGAAAGGGAGAAAGCAAGCCACCAGGTCAGGACTCAAACCACAGTCAGCCATGTGGGAATCCAGCCCCTTTAACACCATGCCACCTGCCGGCCCCAGGACTTTGTTTTATAAAGTAGCAGAATATGACTAAAATGTCACTTAAAAACCAGAGATACCTGGGGCCAACAGGTGGTGTGGAGGATAAGGCAGCTGATTGTGCGGCTCAAGTCCAGACCATCGACTTGAAAAATATGCCACACACATGTATGTGCGTGCCCAAAATCCCAAAAGGAGAATGGAGGAGAAGGAACTGTGGCATGGCCATCCCCCTTTGGGGGTAATTTCTCACTTTCCCTCTTTCTGTTTCTCTCTTTGTCTCTCTTTGGTGAGTGCGTGCACCCTATAGCAAAACTTAAAAAACAAACAATGAAAAACAGAGGCCAAGCCAGCCAATGGCATGATGGTTAAAGTGGCTAGATCTCAAAAGCAAGTTCTGAGCCTCATGGCTCAAGAAACATGCCAGATGCATGTGAGTGCATCCCCATAATCCCAAAAGGTGGGAGACATGGAGGAGAAGGAATTGTGGCATGACCATCCCCTATGGGGTGATGTTTTCTCACTCCCCAACCCCCGCCATCTTTCCAGAGAGTACATGTGCCCTCTGATAAATTAAACAAAAAAGAAAGAGAAAGAAATAAAAGGAAGGAAGGAGAGACAGAAATCAGAGGTACCATATTGTAGGGGAAAGAAAAGGTCAAACAAGCATGGCTTAACATTCCAGCTTGGCTTCTTACCAGGCCTGTGGCCTTAGGCAGATCATTTCACCTCTCCATGACTCAGCCCTCTACTTTGTAAAGTGTGGGTAATATAAGTTTGCTAGACTGCTCTGAGGCTTGAATGAACTAACGTGTGTGAAGCTTCCAGCACAGCACCTGGCACACAGTAGGTGTGCAAGAAAATATCAGAAGTTGATCAGGTCAAGTGTGGGATTGCTATGACCAGTTTTGGACTGTGTAAGCCTGAAGATTCTGTACTCTCTGCCCCCAGGTCTCCAGACCAGTGAAGATGCTAAGTTTTATGCCCTATCAACCAGGTTTAAGCCGTTCAGCAATGTGAATGAGACCTTGGTGGTTCAGTTTTCAGTAAAACATGAGCAAGGTATCGATTGTGGTGGCGGGTATGTGAAACTCTTTCCTGACACTCTGAACCAGGAGGATATGCATTCGGATTCTGCGTATTACATCATGTTTGGTAAGCTCTCTGACAGCAGTTGCCGTCAGCCCCACAACGTCCTGATGACAGCCACAATCTTTGAAAAGGTTCAGATGGAGCTGGTACAGAAAAGTGTCTGCAATCGCTCCACCTCCAATATGCAGCAGGACTCTTTAAAGACCTGAAAAAAGAAACTCTAAGCCTAAGTGTTAATATAAATAGATCAGGGGCCAGAAGTGGTGAAGTGGTAGTGCCACTGGACCCACATGGGAAAGGTCCTGGGTTTGCATCCCGGGACTTCTGGTAGCACACGGAGCGGAGCACCTTCATGTATGCCAGTGCATTGGGCCGGCGGAGACTCAGGGAGGACTGCAGTGCAAAGACCCTGTTGGAGAGCCTGTCTCTCTGATGGAAGAACTAAACTGTAAAAAAATAAAAAGAAAAAAATAATAAAAGAAAAAAAGAAAAAGAAAAGTATAAATAGATCAAAGAGGTGGGAAGGCACATGGTATCAACAAATCAACATTGCCCAGTTCTCAGAGAAGGAGACGTGGCCATAAGCTGTGCACACACTCTCAAATGTACCTATTGCAGTAAGGCCCCGTGTGAGAAAGGCACAGGAGGTCAGGGAGATGACCTTTACTAAGCATCTGTAATGTGACCAGAGTGTTGCATTTGCAACCTAAATATGAAAATAGGCCTCTTCAGGGCAGTCCAACTCCTACTTAGCTCCAAATTTAAATCTAGTTTCAACACTGGAGATATTAAAAAACCAACAATCAAATTCCCAAAGCAGAGATGGAGAATGTGGATTTTAGTGAATGTTTTATCCAAAGCCAGAGGAAAGGTTACATTACATTTGATACGACAGAATTTCCTTAGGATTCTAATTCCTTTCATTTCCCAGGGCATATCAGATCTCTTTTTCAAAGCCTTCACCAAGATCTTCCTTTTCAGCTTCTTGGCCCTTTTTCTGTCTGCATCCTCTCCACTTTTGCTCTTTCTCTCTTTCTTTCTGTCTTATTTCTCAATTCCTTTCTGATGAAGAGCAATATATCACTTTGGGTATGGAAAATGTGTGTCTTTGCCCACCTTGCTAGTTTCCCCAGAATCTATCCTTCTCACAAGGAGTTTGAAAGTGTTTATGCATGGGACCAGCAATTAGCGTAACAGCTATGTCGCTGGACTCCCATGTCGTCGACCACGGTTCGAGTGCTGGACCCAGTGGCTTAAACTGATGCTGGGCGTGTGTATGTGTGTGTGCCCAAGATCCCAAGAGGACAATGGAGGAGAAGGGGTTGTGGCATGGCCATCCCCTCGGGGGGGGGTAGGGGTGATTTCTCGCTTTCTATCTCTCTGTCTCTGTCTGTCTGGAGAGCGCACGTGCCCTCTTAGCAAAAACCTCTCCAAAAAAAAGAAAAGAAAAAAAAATTGTTCCCTCTAGAGTTTTCACAAAGCAGAAAGGGTCGCAGGTGAGCTTGGGTTTGAATTCCAGCAATGGTACTTATTATATGGGGCAAGCTGCTCAACTTTTCTGAGCCTAAGTTTTCCCAACTAGAAGGATAGTCCCACCTACTTATGAGAATTCCACCATATAAAATGCCTAGCTTAGGAAGAGCTGCCTGATAAGTTTCATCGGTGCAAGCCTTGGCAGGAAATGAGAAGGAAAGAAGAGAGTCGTGCCTCTCAGATGAAAATCAACTTCTTGGGGCCAGCAGGTGGTGTGATTGTTAAGGTGCTGGGAGTCCACATGGTTGATTGTGGTTCAAGTCTCGGACCAGGCAACTTGCTTTCTCACTTTCTCACTCTTTTTTTTTTCTCTCTCTCTCTGTCTCTCTCTGGTGAGTGCTTGTGCCCAAAAAACAGGTTAAAATAATAATAATAAATAATAAAATAAAATAAATATAATTTTTAAAAAAAGAAAGTCAGCTTCCTCCTGGCAGCCCTCTCCCTAGAACTCTTTCTGGAGCTCTGATAACCACACCTTAGCCTCACCCCTCAGGTGTAATGGTGGGGCTAGCCCCACTGTTAGCCCTAAACCCAATACTATACCTTATGTTTTCTCAATGTCCTGTCCCCACCTTTGTAAACAGTCACTTTATTAAATCCTTCTGAAATAATCCTAGCTTTGAGTATACCATCTATTTTCTGCCGAGACCCTTATTAATACAAAAGTTATGTTTGTCTTAGGACTTGGCCTCAAACCAGACAAACTATCTAGAAGTGACAAAATTATGCTTTGGGATTTAATTTCCAGGTCCTGACATCTGTGGCTTTGGCAACAACAAAGTACAGGTCATCCTTTATTACCAAGGAAAATACCATGAGAACAACAAGACCATCAAGTGCAGGGTGAGTGGGCGGGCTGGTTCTTAGCCTAAGGGGAAGGGTAAGCATTTTATGCATGTTATCTATTTAATACTTATGAGAACCCTATAAATTAAATATTACCACCTCCATTGTACAAATTATAGAGTAGGCCTAGAAAAGTACTTTAAATCATACAAGTTCACAAAGAAGCAGCTGATCCAAGAGCCTAGAAAGTTATATATAAAGTCCTATCTTGAAACAGTGCTGTGCTTGATGTGACCCTTTTCCCTGCTGCTGGATATTGGAGAGGATGGGGGAGCTAGGGAATGTTGGGTTTAGAAGAGGTGGGGGGTAATTTATTCACACCAGGTCGGAGAAGCCTAGGTTGTCTAAAGAGTAGACAACCTAATAGGCAGATTTTATCATCAACTCAGTAGGCATTTACTGAATGTTAACTCTGTGCTGGGCCTTGGGCTGGGGATAGAGTGAGCTAAACAAGGCCCCTGACTTCACAGAACTCACAGTCGACTGAAGGTAAGAGTTAGAAAAGCGACTAACGGGTATAATCCCAGTCTATTGCTGCACAGCAAAGTCTCCCAGTCCAACCTGGAGGCTTAGGAAATGCTTCCTACAGAAAGTCTCCCTTGTGCCGGGACCAGCAGTTAGTGTAATAGCTATGTTGCTGGACTACCATGTAGTTGACCATGGTTCGAGTCCCAGACCTTGTGGCTTAAACTCATGCCGGGCGCATGTGCGTGTGTGTACAAGATGCCGAGAGGAGAATGGAGGAGAAGGGATTGCGGCATGGGCCAACCCCCCTGGGGGGTGATTTCTTACTTTCTGTCTCTCTGGTGAACACATAAGCCCTATAGCAAAAACCTCTCCAAAAAAAAAAAAAAAAAGAAAGAAAGAAAGAAAGTCTCCCTTGTGCTAAATTTAGAAAAGTGAATGTGACTTGGTCCTGTGAATGAGTGTGACAATTTTAGGGAGGACTGACTTTCTGAAAGAGGTAGTTAGGTGACTTGAGAAAGAGAGGCAAAATGTTTGGCATTGCTTAGATATGAGGAGAAGCAGAAACCAAATCTAGAGACACCCATACATAGGGCCTAGGTCATCAGAGAACTTGTGTTCAGGCCCAAGACCTTCCTTGGCAGGACTGTACAGAGGTTGTACATGTAGGAGTTCTCTGAGGGCCTCCTCTGGGACAGGCCTTGTGCTGGATGCTGAAGGCACAACAGATGAATCATGTGTGATCCTTGCTGTTGAGAGGCTCACAGCCTAGTGTGCAGAAGAAAAACAAAAAAGATCAGAGAATAATCAGTGCTACAGTGGAAGGAGGAATGGGGCTAGAGGAGACCAGGGGAGTGTCTATTCAGAGAATAAGACCCAGAATCTGCCACATCATTCAGCAGAGAAATGGGATGAGGGATATGGACAAAGTGTTTGTGAATACGTAGGAGGTGTTATCCAAGGAATTGAAGGTCTAATGCATTTACTGCCTGAGATCTAAAGATGTTCAATGTGGAACTAAAATATTTCCCATTCCTTTTACAGATCAATAAAGACACTCATCTGTATACTCTGATTATTCGCCCCAATGCTACCTATGAAGTCAAAATTGACAACATGCAAATGGCAGCTGGGAATCTGGAGGATGACTGGAGTTTTTTGCCTCCCAGAAAAATAAAAGACCCTTATGCCCGGAAACCAAGGAAATGGGATGAACGTCTGCAAATAGAGGATCCTGAAGATAAGAAACCTGAGGTCAGAAGGGTTTGGTTGGGAAGCATGTGGGATCTCACCCCTGAGGATAGGAGAAAGAGGTTGGGATGATGGAGTAGAGACTGGGGGGGTTCAACCCTCGAGGAAGTGTGCAACCTACTCTTAGTACCCAAAGAAGTCGACTTGAGGGATAAGGGCAGCAACCTACATTTGTTGATGACCTAGTGACTCCTCTGGCAGCATCTGTGAGTACAGTGTTATGATTCCTCTTTTATGGATAAAAGATACTCAGAAAATGAAGTGACCTGCCCAAGCAACACACCTTAGAACCAAGGTTTGAACCTAAATCTCATTGACGCCAAAGTTACTGATATGGGGAAGAGGTTAAAGATGAGGGCCATTTTTATCTTATTTGAGCTTAAAGTACTCAAGGGTACTTTAAGCTCAAATAAGACAGAGTGATAATAAATCCAGAGTAGGGGCCGGAGTTGCTTAAATGCTTTTTGTCTCCTGCTGTATGCTTGTTTGCAGAGTCCTGAGCTGGGCCTTCTTACAGGTGAGGGCAGGAGGTTACTGGGAGTAGGGAATAAGGTACAGCCTGATAGCACTCTGGGCTCTGGTTTCATCCCAGCACAGGTATGTCTTCCCTTACCAAAACAACCATTTTGTTTTAGGACTGGGAGGACTTTGAGTACATCCCAGACCCAGAGGCCAAGAAGCCAGAAGACTGGAATGAGGCGATAGACGGCGAGTGGGAAGGGCCCCTGATATTGAACACAAAATATAAGGTGAGATGGTCTCTCTTGCCAATGGGTATGAGAAATAAAACAGAAGAGATGGAAAATCTAATTACAAAACAGGAACTCTGAGATCCTGTGGTCATCTGTCCTCTCCTCCCCATCCCAGATAAGACTGTAGCCTCAGGGCTTGGCCTACTTGAGAGAGTGAACTGGTAAAGGCCAATGCTGAGAGGCAGTGGGCCAAGCAAACCTGGGAACCCCCCAGTTAGGGCCAGCCAGGTGGCTTGGTGGTTAAGGCGGCTGGATCCCACATGGACGATTGAGTGGTCTGAGTCCCACTCAAACCTGACGGCTTGAAAAGAACACATCGAGCCTGGGTGTGTGCATGCCCAAAATCTCAATAGGAGGATGGAGGAAAGGAGGAAGGGACTGTGTCGTGGCCATCTCCCCACCATGGTGGAGAGTGATTTCTTTTTCTCTCTCTCGTTGGCAAGTGCACATGTCCTATAGCACACACATACACAAGAAGTAGCCAGTCAAAGGAACATGGTCAAAACAGGAAAAGTATCTAGAGATTTAGGGGAAGTGTCTCAGAGTTGGGCCAGAGAGGGAAAGTGTATAACACAAATGAGCTAAAGGTGTTGGGGTGGCTTAGCTATTTTTTCCTAGATGGCTCATATGCTCAGCAGAGAGAGAGACGGAGAGAAGAGAAAGTACACCACATCTCAACCTCCTTTCAGGATTTTAGGCTCAGTGTGTTTCTTTTCTTTTTTTTGAGAGAGATTTTTGCTATGGGGCATGTGTGCTCACCGGAGAGACAGAGAGACAGAAAGCGAGAAATCACCCCCCAAGGGGGATGGCCATGCTGCAATGCCTTCTCTTCTCCTCCCAGGATCTTGGGCACATGCACACACCCACCCAGTATGAGTTTTAAGCCACCTGGTCTAGGACTTGAACCACATTCGACTATTTGGGAGTCCAGTGATGTAACCATTATATGTGCTGGTCCTCCAGCATGTTTCTTAAGCCACTGGGTCTGGGATTTGAACTATGTGGTCAGCCATATGGAATTCTGCTACCTTAATGACCAGGCAATGGATTCAGTTCCAGAATTTCTTTCTTTTTTGGGGGAGAGGTTTTTGCTATAGGGCATGTGCACTTGCCAGAAAGACAGAGAGAGACAGAGAGACAGAAAGCGAGAAATCACCTCCTGAGGGGATGGGCCACGCTGCAATCCCTTCTCCTCCATTCTCCTCTCGGGATCTTGGGCATGCACACACACATGCCTGGCATGAGTTTAAGCCACTGGGTCCAGGACTCGAACCACAGTCGACTACGTGGGAGTCCAGCGACATAGCCAATGTGCCGTCTGCTGGTCCCCAGAATTTCTTTTTAAGGGCTAACTCTAACTTGTACCAAAAGCAAGAAGAACTAAAGCTGTCAAATGTCCAGAGGTAAAACAGACTGAAGCAAGCATGATTTTACTTGGCCACAGTTTCCTTTGCTACACACCAGGAAGAGAATGACCCCTAGTGCCAGCATACTTACATGAAGGTCTCTGAGAAACGACATTTTCTTAAGTTTGTGAATGACCTTGTGCAGAGAGGTAGGGCTGCGTTCAGAATGGATCCCCGCTGCCTTGTTTGGCTTCTTCTGGGAAAAAATGTGAACTTAAAAGAGTCTTGTGCATTAACTCAAAGAAGTGGAAAGAATTCAGTTCCGAATCTTTATGTCTAATATACAACTGCCTTTATAACTTGATTAGCTTTTCTGATCGCATGATATCAGAAGAATAGAAAAGTACTAATGCCATGTTTATGCCTTGGTTCTTTGCTTAGGGACAATGGAAACCTCGGATCATTGACAATCCCAATTACCAGGGAGAGTGGATTCATCCAGAGATAGACAACCCTAAATATAAGCCTGACCCCACCATTTGTCACTATTATAACATCAGTGTCCTCGGCCTGGACCTTTGGCAGGTAAAAAACTCTGGACTCAGAGCCTCTAATCAACAGTCCTAGTTTCTTTTTAATTTTTTTTTTCAGAGTGTGCATGAACTCACTGGAGAGAGACAGCAAGAGAGAGAAGGAAAGAGAGAAGGGACTCCCCCCACGGGGAATGGTCCTTCACCATCCCTTCTCCTCCATTTCTCTCTTCTTTGGGGATTTTGGGCACCCGTGTACTTGTACCCAGTGTGGTTTTTCAAGCTTCCAGTTCTGGAAGTCAAATAGTGCAGAGGCCATGTGGGATTCAGTGGCCTTAACTACCATGCCACTTGTTGGCCCTAGTTTTCACAAAGTGGGCAGAGCCCTAAGCTGGAAATCAAAGATTTGAAACAGTCTTGACCTGTCTAGCCTCAAACTGCATATAATCACCTTCATCCTAATAATGATTGTAGCTAAAGTACAGTGAGTCCTTACCATGTAACGAACACTGTAAAGACTTTGCACATGCTATTTAATTTTCACTGTGAAATCTATTTCTTCTTTTTTAAAACCTTTTAAAAATATTTATTTATTCTTTTTTATTATTATTAATTTGATGAGAGAAGGAGACAAAGAAAGAGAGAGAATGTGAGCAAGCCACCAGATCCAGGACTTGAACTGTGGTCAGCCATAGTGGGAGTCCAGCACCCTAATCACCACACCATCTGGGCCTTGCCCTGATACCTACCTGGAGAACCCTGTAGAAAATGCAGTGTACGTAGTCCTGGAAGAATTCCCCTGTGGAGGAAGGGAGCTTCCTTTTGGGTTAACACTGACTAGAATCAGTGTTTTATCTATGTTATAGCCCTTAATTCTTGTAACTTGGTAAGGTACGTACCAGTATCCTTTCTCTTTTTTTAGGCTCTCCAGAGAGAGACAGAAACAGTGAGAGGGAAAGTGAAAAATCACCCCCTGGGGGAATGGCCATGCTGCAATCCCTTCTTCTCCTGGGATTTTGGGTACACATGCACTTGTGCCCGGCATTATTTTCAAGCCACCAGGTCTGGAATTTGATCTGCTGTCAGCTGTGTGGGAGTTCAATACCTTAACCACCACGCTACTTGCTGGCCCCAGTAATATCCTTTCTTATTTTTTTAAAGAACTGTTTATTTACTTTTATTTGTTATTATTATTTTTTATTTGCAACAGAGCACGTTCAGTCGCCAGAGAGAAAGAGAGAGAGATAAAGAGAGAGAGAGAGAAAGTGAAAAAGCAAACCACCAGGTCTGGGATCTGAACCACAGTTGTCCACGTGGGAGTCCAGCACCTTAACTACTATACCACCTGATGGCCCCAGGATCCTTTCTTATTACTGTTTTACATTTGAGAGAATTGAGACTATGAAAAGTCAAGTGACATGGCCTCGAACACATAGCCTGGACACAGTAGAGACAAAATTCAAACAGGTCTGTCAGCCTCTAAAGCCTTTGCTGCAATGACTACACACACTGTACAGGAGAGCCCCAGAAAACACAGCCGCTGCGCCTCGACTGCGTCCTCGAAGGCATGGAAATCTGTGTCTCTGCCATGGATTTCCATAATTCAGTGCCACCGAAGGCCTCTGGGACAGACTTTCCGTATTTGACACTTTCTTGGTTTACTTATTTCCCACTTTAATTCCACTTTCTTGGCTTCCTGGCTCAGGGAGATCCACACAGGAGAGCAGGGAAGTGGCATCTGTCACGGGTGCATGGCAGAGGTTCAGAAGAGAAGGGATGAGAGGAGGGAGGGAAAGGGAAAGGCACACATCGTATCCTTTCCTTCCTGGTATCTGAAGAATGTGGACAAATTTGCACGAGTGCATGTTGTTCCCTTTTTTCCAGTTGTTCCTTTTTCATACATAATAGGCAATTTTCTCTTTGTTTCTCGCCTTTCATGAGAGAGTGTGTGTGTGTGTGTGTATGGCAGGGAGACAAAGGTGTTTTGGATGGGTGGCACCAGGTTGCAATCTTCCTGCCTGAGTGCCCCAGTAAATTAGCATGACAGGTACTCACCACAGCACCCAGCACGTTGAAGTCGGGCCAGAATCGAACACAAGGCTCCCATGAGACCTCAGCCACCCCTCCTGACTGAGCCCCTTGTGGCCAGGCCCACAACAGGAAATTTTTACATCTTGTAAACATAGTGATTATATTAACATATCTATTCTCCTTAATGTCTTTAAAATGCAGCCTTCCACCTAGTGGAAATATTAAGGGACACATTTTTAACTCTATCGTTGTTCACTAACAAAATAAAACATTATTTGGCACTAATTGCTCTGGGTTCTATGATCCTCTGTAAGTAGGCCAACCATTGTGTTAGAAGAATTAAAACAATGATGGATGAGCACTCCTCAAACTTTAATGTACCTACGGGTCACCTGGGGATCTTATTAAAACGTAGATAATGATCCAGCAGGTCTAAGACGAAGCCCTAGAGACTACATATCTGAAACTCCAACATCATTTCATGACCTTGGAGGGGGTGGGGGACGCTTTTGATTTGGTTCAGTTTGGCTGTTGTGGCACAATTCTGCACCATGCCGCCGTCACCGTCATTGCAGACTTTCTTTCCTTCTAACTTCTAAATGGGCTGGCATTCATAGCTCTGACTCCACCCTCCCCATCAGTCACCTGGAACATCCAGTTTGCCACAGGGCCTCTGCCCTCCTTGCAAAAGCCAAGTGACTCCCATGGAGATGGGTAGGAATCCCCTGACCTACCCTGCTCCAAACCCCCTCTCTCCAGCCCTCAGATGCTCTGGGGATCTAGCTGCCCTTCCTGTCCCTTCGCGACCCAGTCTAGAAAACTGGTTAAGTTTCCTACATAGTCCCTACCCCTCCTCTTCTCTGTTTTGATACCTACAAATAACTTTACCTGTGTTTTTTTTCTCCATGTTTTAAAAATTTCTTCCTGATAGAGTGCTTGCACATGCATGTGAAAGAGGGAGATGAGCACCTCGCTCTACAAGGTCTGGGCACCTCCAGGCCTCTAGCCCATTAGATCTTCAGCGCTCACGTGTGCTTCACCCCGGTGTGCTTCGAACCCATTACCTGAGGATTCAGACTTTGGGCGCTGTGTGAGATCAACTTCTTTAGAGCAGCATATTACCACCATATTGCAGATATACTTTTTTTTTTTAAAGAGGTTTTTACCAGACCACATGTGCTTGCCAGAGAGAGACAGAGAGAGACAGTGAGAGGAAAAATGAGAACTAGCCCCCAGGGGAGATGGCCATGACACAACCCCTTCTCTCAGGATTCTTGGGCATGCATGCTCAAGTGCCCAGGGTGATTCTCAAGTCAAGAGGGGGGTTAGCGTTGTAACCACCATACCACCTGCTGACCCCTATACTTTTTAAAAGAAAAAAAAAAAAACTTTAATTTTTGTCCTGTCTTGAGTTGTCAATAGGTTCATGTACCTACTATTTGAACAGAACTCTAACCTGTTTCCTGGCTTTACGTTTTAAGCAAAGTTCTTTAGCATTTCTTTGATTTATTAAAGTTAAAACTGCTTTTCTTGAAATTACCAGCAGAACTTGCTATTGAAAGTAGTTAGATTACTTAAGAAATTGTGTAATCAATAAAATGTGAGGGAAAAAAGGATGGAAGACAACTGTAGACACCAGAAATAGTGTGGGAAGAGGGTGGGAAAGGGTAGAGGGTCAGAAATAGGGGTAACAAATATATATATATTTATATATATATATATAATTGGAAATGGAAAATTACTGATGATAACATGCATGATTAAGCCATCTGCAGTATATTCTGGATGGGAGATCACATTTTGTATGCTGCGACCATGCTTAGGGAATGAATGTAAATTAATTTTTAAAAATCTTTCAGAAATTAACTAATTAATTTTAAAAAAGCTTTAGGTGGAAATGATTGCTTTCTTTGGTTAGGACAGAGCCTGGGAGAGAGGTGACAGAGAAAAAGAAAATTCTTCTTACCTGTGGGACTTCATGTGTAGTGAGAGGCTAGCCTGGCCGTGATGCAAAGTACACTGATAGCCCTTCCCTTACATGGTAAGGTCCTGCCGCAGCCCTGTGAGGCTAGGAGGGTCGCACTTAGCGTTTGCATTTTATGAGTGAGAAAACCAAGGGCTCGAGAGCTTACTTACTTGCTGAGGTCTCATAGCTAATAAGGGCCCTCTGTTACA